TTGGGTGTATCCCGACTCATCATTGCGGTGAACAAGATGGATACGGTGGATTGGTCTAAAACACGGTTTGATCAAATTCAATCGCAGATGTCTCATTTTCTCAAAAGCATGAATATTACTGGAATCGAGTTTTGTCCGGTGTCCGGTTTACTTGGGATTAATATGGTACCAAAATCGATTTCAAAAGCCGAGAAACAGACTGAAGATAGTGGCGAGGCAGCCTTGTTCAGTTGGTACCACGGACCCTGTCTTTTGGATATGATCGGTAATGTCCCCAAATTTTTTCGTTCACCTATGATGTGGTTTTCAGTTAATAATTCGTTCATGCACAACATTAGAAAAACAATGTGTCTATCTGTTTAAAATTTGTTATTGCTGCTTTACGCTTGCTTACGGTGCTGTGCAATGTTATTGACTTTTACGTAGTTATCTTCCTCAGTTTCACTTTGCTCATTCATCTTTCGCGCATGCCGAATCCCTCTGAGGCTACTGAACTTTTCACAATCCACATACAGACTTCAAATATGCCAGACAACAGTGTGTAAATTCTCCAAAAGTGAATTTCAATGTTTCAGTATCTAGCCACTGTGTAGTCCGATTGGACAATATCTATTGACTGCGCTACATTCAGTACTTAATGGTGACTGACGGAATCCGAACGTTGGACGATTATTTTATCAATGACTGCTTGCTATTGTTCTGTTTTTCTGTGTTTATAACCATACACTTCCGTCTTGGTTATGCTGCATCACAACTTTACACATCATTCTGTACTCCTACTTTTGAAATTGTCCGTACGCTGGCGTCAAGTGACATAGTCATTTGAATCGATGGAGTATATCTATCGATTACCAATGCCAGTAGAACTACGGTTCCCGTAAAAATAAAGTACTTTAGCCCTTACTGCGTTTTTTGCGTCCACGACAAATGCAATCTCATGTTCATAAATATACGAAAATAGCATGAGAACAAATATGGTTCTCATTTACAGCCGTTGGCGCATCATTAAACCTTCGACTGGAAGCAAACCAACCGGTGTAGTATAATTGCGTAACTCGTCACATCAAGTCGTGTTTTCTCTGACTTTTGTGTTTTGTGGTCTTGGTCGGAAAATGTTTCCCTCTGACGCTTGATGGTACGCTATATAAAGCTTCAACAGAACGCGACCAGCTATTTTACGCGATGATATCACGAAGTGAACTGTTTAGGGTTGTTGGAGTCCGGTCTCTGATGTAAGATCTCACCGACAAAAACTACCATTTATTGTGACTTAAACAGCTTCGCCACCATCAAGCTACCATTTCTTTGTGGTTATGCTTTCACGGTTCAACTAAGTCTATACTGTTTTCCTCATTCAACTGATAATTACACCACACCTGAATTTATTTCTTTTGTTCTTGTACTTCCCCAGATTCACTCCCCTCTCCGGACCGCACAGTCGACGGTCCTTTCCGTTTCGTTGTCAGTGACATATTCAAGCCTGCCGGACTCGGTGTTCCTGCTGTCGCTGGACGCGTTCTCTCCGGTGGAGTGTCTTCTGGATTAAACGTGGCAACTAGTAGAGTATTTTGCCAACCCAGTGGTTTACCGGCCACGGTAAAGTCTATTCGTTCACTTTGCGCTGTTCGGTCAGGGGCTGAGAATGCGGAAGGTAATTTCTGGTTCTCTTGTTGCATAGTTCAACTTTTAGATAATTTAAACTTCATTGTGCGATTTATCGCTCTGATTTGTTCAGCACAGTCGAGCGTTTCTTTCAATACATTCGAATGCTCCATCCATGATGATCAGATTAGAGAGGAAAAGCACTTTCTCTTCATAGAAGTCGTAACGCGACTCCCGTTCACCAGACCGCACAATGCATTCTGTAGAACGTCCTCTATGACGAAGTTCAAACGGATTGGAGATAGAGAGCAGCTTTGTCGAACTTCACTGTAGACGGCGAAGGGTGGCCAAAACTGGTCCTATTCTGACCGAAGGTATGACGATACAACTCTTTTAGGATGGGCATATGCTTTTCTGGTGTCTCGTTCCTCAACAAACAGTTCCATAGTGCGGTCCTATCGGCACAGTCAAACTCCAAGCGGATGTTGGTCGTTGGTCTGTGGTAGGCAGGACGTTGCTCTAGCAGCTGTTGGATAAATACGTCCACGGATTTCTGTTTCGGAAGGTGGGCCTGGTGAGACAGATCATGGGACGTGTGCCGGAACAGCTGTGTGAGAAGTTGGCCAACTAAATTGCGCTTTCAAGTGACCCACCCAGTGTGCAAGACGTCGCTTTTGATTGTGAATAAGCGAGCCATCAGCTTCATGGATCGTTTCACTCACGCCTAAAGCTTTCCTACCGCTGACTGAGTGAGACGCAACAACATACGGGCACATTCCATCTTTGATGAACGTGGAAACCACCAAATGTTGCGGTCTCTGCGTAAGCTTGCGTTAGGTTCACGTCTCATTACGAGTCATGTTTCATCGAAAAGTGCAAGCGAAACTCCGCAAATTGGTTGGATGGGAACGTCGAACGCATCACGGAGCGAAGGACTTGAATGCGAGTATTTTGGATTCAACACAAATCGACGACTAGGGCATCGCGAGTATAAGCCAAGGCGCCTGTTGTGGTGTAGACATGGGGGTTTACGCGTTACATGACGTGAGACTGAAGGGCATCATAAAGCCATAAGAGCCTCAGCCGGTAAAGAAGAGGGACTTTGACAGTGGTCGAAGGACGAAGCAAGAAAGTAATTTTCACTTGAGCAGCACTGCTAGTTTAATCGTTTCAAAGTCCTATGGAAGTGAATTTACGGCGCAATCGCTCCGTCGTTTTACATTGTCTTGTCCCTCTTACCCGCGACCTTTAACAAGTAAATTCCCTCTGACGCTCTCTGCTATCTGATTGGGTCATTTTCCGCGATTTGCGGCACTTGGAATCCTTCACCTCAACACTTTTACTTGTTTGAGGCCGCGGGTGAGAGGGACAAGACAACGTGAAACGATGAAACAGTCCCACTGTGTGTGGGAAGCTTAGAGGAAAAACTGAGATAATTGGGACTTGCAAGCTGTAGAATTGTTTGCATTCGGGGAAATGCTTCGAATGCGCATTGTTTTACACAATAAACTTCATAGTTGCATGCATTATGGGTCCTTGATGATCGGTCGCCCAGTGAGGACAGGTGTAAGCCGATACATTCGAAGCATTGCACGTGTCTGCAGGAAACATCAAGTGAGCATTGCTGAGGTTCATCATAGTGTGTTGAATGCTGATATTCGCTCTCCAAAAGAACTCGTCCTACACCACCTCCAACAGAGTAGTCATTGCTTTACCAATGCTTGACCATCGTCCACCTGTTCGGGTTCTGCTTGCACGTGCTAAGTCAGGCTGGAAGAAGCCTTGCGGAGGTCAGCCTGAGTTTGTTCAGCCTGTCTTCGAGGTTGAGGCATTAGGCAAGAGGATTGTGATTCGTTGGTGACGCTGTATGGTGTGGCTCAGACTAGAAGTTAGTGGCGCAAATGCTTTACTGTCTTTCCTTTGGATTCCCGTGGCCAATGAGAATTGATAGTGTGTCACAGTGATACTAGAAGGAAGTGTCCGTACCAGAAATGCACATAATCTATCAGCCCTCGTGCCCGTCAACCAAGGATATCGTTTTCCTTTAACTAAAAGGAGCCTTCGACTCCATGGGTCGCGAAGCGCTTACGGGTTCGCTCCTTCGCAAAGGAATGCTACGGAAGTATGTGAACATACTCAGGTCACTCTACTTGCATGTTTCTGGTAGCGTTAGTGTCTACGGAGAGCTGAGTAGGTTGTTCGTAACTATCAGTCGTCGGCTATTTTGGGATGCATCGAACATGTGCTCGCCATCGCTTCGAATTCCGTTCAGTAAACTCCGTAGGTTAGGACACGTTTTACGCATGTCTAACGGTCACCTGCCGCATCGTGCCTTATTTAGAGTAGCCGCTGTAGATTGGTGAAAACCACACGGATGCCGGCAGGTTACGTGAAAATGAGGTATGAAGAAATGCACAGAGCGATTAGATAAAGTCTCGTTTTCCGGGTTCAGGTCCAAAAGACTCCTTAAATGGATGGTTGGATATGGCGGCAAACCGACAGCAGTGGCGTTCTTGTTATTAGTTATCGATCAGAATGCTTGAAGTAGTATGTGGCACAGTTGAATTGTGCACTCTTTATTGACCGTAGAGGTTTGATTTCTTTCCCCGTCCCTTAAAACAGACCCAATCCCTTTTCTCCTCCCATACACCTTGTATGCATTATGATTTTGGCAGTGATCAGCGAAGTTCACTCAGCTGTGTTACGCTGTACAATGATAATGATCGTACATGCAAGCCAGTGCTGTCGCAGTGCCCTGAACAAGAACGACTTGGTGAGGAAGCACTTCCCGATAGTAATCGCGTTTGCCAAGACGGGATTCACCGCAGATGTACTGGACTACCTAATCTCCCTTCTGGGGTGCGCACCATTCCAGTCGGATAAAGTGCAATCAGTGATTGGCGGAGGCGTTTTGCTGCATGTGCATGAAGATTTTACCTGTTTCGCACGGGTCCTGACTGACACCGAGGAGCGTTTTGGTGCAAAACAATTCTCTGCTGCAATAGCTACGCGACCATCGGTATCTGCCATAGACGACCTGCGGCAGCCTCCGTGGCTATCCTGGGTGAATGGCTTCGTCAGGCCAGCGATGGTTCTTGTCTGATCTTAGGCAATTTCGGTGTGTTGCAAGTCAGCTGGTATAAAAATCACTGTTGGCCGGGAACACACTGGTTCTCTGGTGAGATACTCGCAGCTGTGCGTCAATTAACTGTTCACTAGCATTCCCGTGAGCCAACAAGGACAAACGCGTCCAACGCGTCAATTCTGGATCTGCTTTTTCCCCCAGAATCGTCAGACAGCGAAACCGTCGATCAGTTCCCGCCTCTAAGTTCAAGTGACCACTCGTCGCCATGGAGCTCCGCACCGCCGTCTGTTGCATTCAGACCCAATGTCTGGAAAGCAGACTACGAGGGCATGCAAATTTCGGCTCAATCCCTCCGGAAGTTAACTACGTGTCTACAGGGAGTAAGCGTCGCCTGGACCATTTTCCGGAACGGTAAAATAGGATTAGTGGCGGCGTTCGCATCGCCTTAACGTTACAGGTCGCCTCTTATGGAATCTCTGATTTAACCGCGAACTTCGCCAGATGCTGAAGCATAGGATCCGCGCTTGGAAAGCGTTTCGCCTACATAGCGGCAGTAACGACAAGTATATGGCCCTACGTAATACGTGTTCTCAGATGAAATCAGTCCAGCGAGGAAGATATGAGGAGTTCTTTACGGCAGAATCAGCCACCATGCCAAACGGTGTTGATGCTTATCTCCGACGTCGAACGTGAATAACGGCCGATATCCCGCCCCTGGATTACCATCGTGCCCCAGTTGAAACGGACGGTGAAAAGCAAAAGCATATACGCAGCTTTACCCGTGTGATTCTTCTCCGAGCCCAGTCGTTGTGACATTCCTTTTTGAAAATGGGTACGATCAATTATTCGTCCCAATATGATAAAATACGTTCCAGCAAGTATATGTGCTGTTAGTTAGTAATATAACTCATGCGATTGTCACCTCCCCCATCATGAAAAGACTAGGAAGAAGCGCGTCAGGTCCCGCTGCTTCCCTCTCCAGAGTTTGAATGTATGCCCACAAGGCAAGCTTAAAAGGAGAAATCGATTGGCTCCCATTGGAATTCCAAATTAACCGGGTAATTTTGAAGCAATCGGAAAAATCCACGGAAAGTTGTACATCTTTTTCTTCCGTATTGTTATTACTCGGAAACGTTACCTTTGAAAACCAAACATTTACTAACCTGCAAGACTACAACAACAGCATTTACAAAATTGTTTTTAGGGAAGGCCCTGCAGAATATTTTGAACAAACTTTCAACAACAAAAACCTTGATGAAACTGGAATGAGACTCGTCAATCGATTTTCGTGCCATAACCAAAGAACATCACTGACTACTAAAACACTACTATACTCCAATTCGAGCTTCGAATACGTAGCCGTCATATGACTAGGCTTGGGATATTAGCACCCACCCGCATGTGTTAAGCCGGACGACTGAGAACAGATTCCCGGCGTTCGAACTGCCCTAACGACACTGACAGTTAAGTGACCTCATCACCACCGATCCGGATAATGGGAGATGGCGCGACAGAGCGCATCACTGGCCGAATCACAGGATTACACGTATGCACATGATCACACATTTGTTGACTTGTAATCGTCGCCTCGGAGTTATCTGATTGTGAAACTTGTCTCTAGAGGGGTTATTCACGATAATCAAAAAAACCTCGGTGGATTATAGCTTAAATAATCAGTGCTTTATTATTGACAAAAACATTTACAGTAAGTCATACCCATATAAAGCATGAGTTTTCTATACCCCGTTTGGTCCTGACACATTATTCTGTCCTTTGCTGTTCTCTAGCTCTGAGTTTGCAAGCATAAAATTCTAATATCATTTCCTTTTACCCAGCCGATTCCTCGATTTAAATACTGTCAGCTGCTAAGAATCTCCTGGCGAAGTTGATAATATAGGGTAAACTCCGGGGGGGGGGAATAGCAATTGGAATGTGATCTTTCTGGTTTGAAACTTCGTCTTTAGATGTTTAAACGATCCACACGTTATTTCTGAATTGCTTGATTTCTTCTCCATTTAGGCGACAGCTCTGGTGGACTTCTGGACCAGGTAGTCAAATCGGCTTTTGCCGGCGACCAGGTTGCATTAATTTTGAACGGAATTGATCCGTTCCAATCTCTGGTTCCTGGTGACGTTATCGCTGATCCGGACAATCCTGTACCTCTGGCTAGTCGCATCAGCGCCAAGGTTTTAGTATTCGCTGTCCCTCAACCGATTACGCAAGGATATCCGGTTAGTTTTGGGTCGAATTTCTCTATTTTTCTGTCGAAAATTTTCTCATCTGCTTTGGTTGCGGCTGTATTCATACAACATTGGCATCGAAAGGGTTACTTCAATGGCATCACTTCCCGCAACAATTAATTCTGCCTATTCCTCACGCACTCCAAGACTGTCTTTTGGGAACTGGATTTTCACGAAATGGCCTAGTCAAAACTCACGAAGAGCTTGAGAGACGACCGAGAAGCCCGGTGGGTCCTACGTGCAGAAGCGATGGAATCAACAGCTAGGTGTGGAAACACAAGGCACTGTTCCTTTTCAACAGTCCTGCTGACCCAGAAAGACAGTGCATTAGTAAAACAACCGACAAAGTAAACGCCACGGCAGTATACAGTCTTCACTGATGCTTGGAAAGGCAAAGCATTTCACGTTCCAGTTCAACTAGCGCTGACTACCCCCAAGTAGTTGTCTTGGTCACGATCCACGGAGCCGCCCACAGAAGCAGAGATTCGAAAGGAACTCCAAGCCCCGAAACGCAACAAGGCATCTGGATTGGCCAACCTGCCCAGGGCCTTTTATAAAGATGGTAAAGAAGCTCTCGTGAGAGAGCTTGCCAGACTGCTCTCGAAGATCTTGGAGAGCGAAACCGTATCCTACATGTGAAGAATCGACGGTTTTACCCGTCTTCAAGATGAGCTATTGCAACGCCTGTTCCAACCACAGTGGCCTAAGTCTGATTATAATAGTGCCCAATGTGTTCGCGTCCGTTTCGATAAAAAGAACAAATCTGTGAAGAGCAAGCCGGATTTGATGCATGCCGTGGTTGCATAGATCAAACTTTCACTCTTTATCAGCTACCAGAATACGGCCACATATATCGACGACAAACTGTTGGTGTGGTTTTGGTTATCAAAGCGGCCTTCGACTCCATCGATCGCCCTGTCCTGTGGAACTGTTTGTTGAGTTACGGGGTACCCGAGAAGATTGTCCTGCTTCTAAAAACAGTTTACCGTCAGACCTCGGGAAGAGTTAGGGCGTATATTGAACTCTCACACTCATTTCCTTTCAACAGTGGGGTACGATAGAAACGCCCCATCTCTCCGTTTCTCTTCAACTTTGAATAGATTATGTTCTGTATGCCTATCACAAAAGTGTTTATGCTGCTCAGTTGTTCTAACTAAATTTCCTGTGACAGTTGCGCGAACATAAGTAATCAGTTTCGACCGTTTTCCCTTCGTTTTGGTACCATTTTGGAGAAAATTCAACGGTTTATCCAATAAGCCTGTTTTCATCGCTCGCTGTCTGTTTTCCCAACAGCTGAGGGTATATATTTTGTTCTTCAATTCTGTCATGGAACATTTTTTCCCTTTTTTAATGATTATTTCACCATAATTTGCCTGGTACACAGTCTGTCCTGAGACAAATTTGAAATATAATATGTAACACTTCAATTCTGTACCGTTCCCCATCACGCGCGTACCTGTCCGTTTCTTCATCGTCGTCACCGCAATTCCATTTATAGTAATAATCCCTTGGGATACGAACGGTGCGAGAACATAATGGAAATCAAGAAATAAATGGAAGTAGTGGAAATAACTTAAGATGAGAAGCTTCAAAACCTTCGGAATGTTGGTGCTGACTTACACAAACGAATACTTTGTATTGTTACCCAACACGATTCAAATATACAACTGAGACGCCGCGTGATGTGATTCTAAGGTAATACACGAAATGCTTTTAACCCCATCCTGTTTTTCCACAATATCTCGGTAACTAAACTACACAGATTGATTCAATCTGGTACATTACGGTGTGGAGAAACTAAACAGATTAAGATTAAAGTGTTATTATAGGAAAAGCGCCCGTAGGACTGTGAAATGAAATAATAGCTCTGAATACTGCCATTAAAGTGCCGTCGTTAGCTCGCCATGTAAGTTGTATGAGCTGGTCTTGCCTTAACTGTGTTCGGTGAGGTCCAGCTATGCGATGTTGAACAATATTTACGTCATGCATGGTAGTCGGACGACGATCGCTAATGTCATGCATTGTAGTCCAGTTCATAGTTTCGTCATTTGTCGAAACGGAGGTATGCCATCCGGTTCAAGGTTACCGGAGCTGGAACCCAAAAAATACTTGGCATCAATATTCCTAAGATTCCTGAAAATCTTATCGGTCATTGCTGACTGTTCGTTACTTTTGGATCGACCCACATCGGTAAAAAATAAATTAACACAACATAAGACGAAAATATTTTGATCGATTTACGACACCTTTACGTGCTGCTTCGAATCAGGCAGCAGGTACGTCGAATTTACAGTAATCATGATAGTTAGTTGTGAATATATGCCCATAGCAACTTTTGCAAACAACACCAAAGTTGCAATTCAGGAAGATAAAATCGCATTGAGGATCGAGTTGTGTGGGTTAGGAGTCATAGCAACTGAATTTCTGAATGATTTTCAGAAATGAGGAAAAAGTTCAACCCCAATAGTACTAATGTGTGGACGTGTTGTTACATGGCCCGTGTCCAAACAGGTTTTCCTTCCATCGTTCACTTGCAAGAAAGGATATTCTACCTTAATCACGAATTAAATACGGCTATCTTTTATGAGTGGAACAATTTGTGAGTTTGGACTATCCGGAGCTTGATGAGAAATATTCTCAAGTGTTACTGTTCAGTACTTTATAAATTTTATCTTACTGAGATTTGTTTGGTACTCAGACGTGGTTGAAAAAATGTTTTTCAACATATATCATACGTTTCACACACGTCAGTGTCCCAAACAAACCCTGGTACATTAATCTGTATCAAAAGAAAAATTTCAGTGATTTGCTCATGGACGAGATAGCGTTAGGTTTGGGAACTCACAAACAGAGCCTTTGACTAGTCTAACCTATAAAGCAGTGGGACGGCATGTGAAAATCGCAATCTATTTGGGGTCGGTATTCAACTCATCGGATCTCATGCCCTTTGGACTGGGTCCAACGAGCGAGATGCGCAGTACACCTTAATACCTCATCGTGCCAGTGACCACTGCCAAAACCAGAAAGATAAGTGTGGTCCGTTCGCCTCTTCTTGGTTCCGTTTGGAATCAGGGTTTTCAGCCAACTCTCCTAGGTGAACTTCCAAGGGTTCAGCAACTCGATTATAGTCCCGGAAGTTGGCTTCTCACCCCACCCCCCACTTTGATGGGTGAACACCACGGGAACGCAGGGTATAAAACTTCGTCAGCAGAGGCTATTTGAGATGGTTGGTTCTATAAGGAGATTTTGCGAGGTTCGAGGAAAGGGTGACCATCCAAAACCTGGGACTACCACCCCTAACCATACTGAGGCTTTCGCTTCTCTCACTGTAATTCGCTTCATAATCTTGTCAACGTGCTCAGTTATGAAATTTTATTTCTGGAGGTTGATCGTTCGACTTTGTTTTTTTCCACTGCATAACAGATAAACAGTTCGCTTCCTCACCTTTACTACGGGTCTTCCTGAAACGCTAAGATTTCATTCCCATTTTGACTGCAGTGTTTCTCTTTCCACTGTTTCAGGTGATATTCTACTATCATTGCACCAGTGTCGGTGCTCATATAACTAAACTGAGATCGATGACGCACAGAGAAAACAAGGTGGAAAAAACAGTGAAAAAGCCTCGGTAAGTGCCATTAGCTAACTACAATCTGTTGTCGATGTTAATTATTAGAATGACTACAAGTAACTGAAAGCGAGATCTCCGTTACGTCAGGGTTTTTCCTCCTCTTTTTCTCTATGAGTATACATATATATGGTTTTACGATTAAGGCAGTTAATGATGAATTCTTCCATGGATTAGTAAAATTGCGTAGCAAAAAGTAACATGAGCATTTGTTTAAGTGTCTACGTGTTACTCGATTTGTGTTGTGATTCCTCATCGGTGGTTTAATAGGGAGGATGCATTTGTAACGTGGTTCGGGAAGCACGCATTATGTTATTTTCAGGGTTCACAATAGTCGCTAATTGGCTAACTAGTTGACTGCGTATTGAAGCAGCAATTAAGGCTCTAGAAATCGCTTTTTTCAAACCTATTGTGATGTCATGCAAATCAATTTAGGGTATCCATGGACAGCCAGAATTTCGTGACACAGTTTACCTCCCACAATTAGTGGTACAAAAAGATTGACTTAGAGTTCAGTACGTATAATTTTTCGGTGCGACTGCCTCTAGCTGCTGAGTGGGATTGTTTTGTTAAGCAGCTGGTACAGCGCATCGAGACCACTTGCGAGCATCTACTCGCGGCTGAGTGTGAACGCCCACCCTAGTACGTAGGTAGCCTAACCAAATCTAACGCATGGTCCATGTAGTTCGTTCCATACAAAAGACACTTGAAAACAACACATTCATACGTAGACTAAGATGAGGTTTGTAAAAATCAGTTATCGGATTTAAGAAAATGACAGGAGTATACTGCCGTTCTGAACGTATTAAGCTGGTGCTAGTAGGAAGCCTTGATCTGAGCATAAGGTTGAGTTAGTCTGTTATTTGATTGACGAGCGTAAAGGCTAACCAGGCCTCTTAGATGCACCTTGCTAGGCTTCTGTAAGCCTCCCTGAACATCTGATAAGCTTCACGCCGAAATTCGTGACAGGAGCAGTTGGTTGATGCACCTGTTTAGGTATCCGCATGTGTTCTTGTTTGAGCGACGCTTCCTCACTTTCTGGTCACCTTCCAGACTCACTTCATACGGACGTCTGTCCACTGCAAATCCCGTCTAATGGCGCTACTTTGGCTCCAGAGCTTAGTCCAACGTCGACACCCACTTGATCAGAGGCCAGTACTTCAGAATCAAACTGATTTAGGGACTGCATCGCCTTCATATTTCAACCCGCCTTCTTTCAACTTCGTACAAATCTGTCACTCGTACTTACACCAAAAATAATTCCGCATCAACTTGATTACTAGCTTTTTCTCGCAAAAAATCAGTCGGTAATTCAAATTCTCTGAGCTTCTGTTAAATCGATGTTCTTTTTTCTCTTGCAGTTGTCTGTTAGGAAATTGTACGGCGGATGTTGAGATCACTTTAGAAAGACCTGTTTGTCTGGAGGTCTATGAACGTTGCAAGCCTCTCGGGCGCTTTATGTTACGTGTCAATGGCGAATCTGTTGCCGGTGGAACAGTAACCGCCGTAAGTTACACTTACCCAACCAAGTAATGGGCCATTTGTATGTAAATGCATTTGTTGTTACGCCCCCCACAAACACGACACCGGTAGCCTT